AGAGGGGCTGAGTGCCCATCCTTGTGCAGGAAGATGATTCCCCCATACTCCTGGTTGCTGCACTGGATGGTGACATTCGTCCCCATTTCCACACGTTCCTTGGGGATCATGGAAATGCTGGCTGGGGGATAGTTGGGATCTGAGTGCCGAGAGGAGACAGGGATGGAACACAGCTCTGAGGGAACAGCCCAAGGCCATCTGCTTTCCCCAGTGCCCTCACCTGTCACCACCAGCTCCATGGGTTCACTCTTCTCCAATGTCCCTGGTGGCTCCAGCACCCAGTACTGGCACTGATATCTCACTGCATCTTTTCTCTTTACACTAATCAAGGGGAACTCAGCCATGTCCTGTACCATGTCCGTATGTGCTTGCTTTTTAAATCCCGAAAACCCTTCCTTGTAGAGCTCAACTCGTGCAGCCGGCTGGGGCAGGTGGCAGCGCAGGGTGACATTGTCCCCCAGGGACACCCCCTGGCTGGGGTGCAGCGACAGGGAGGGTCTGGGCACTAGGACAGGGGACAGCAGTCAGCCTTGTCCCTGCACACCTTCCTCTGCCCCTCTCATGGTCCTCTGACCACGCTCCCCTCCCTCTGGCCCCATTCTCCCCCTGTCCCCATACTCACGTTCCTGTGCTCTGTTTCCTGCCACCAGCCACCAACCTGCAAGGAACACGGTCCTGGTCCCACACTGGGCCACCAACCCCCGTGGCACCACGTCCCCTTTGTCACTCACCCAGGATGAGGGCCAGCGCCATTGGTGCCATGAGGCAGGAGCAGCTTGGGGACCGTAAGACTGCAGCGGAGACAGGGAGTGGCCAGAGAGTTACTTTTAGTTTCCCCCAGGGCACAGGATGATGTGATGTCACCTCCTGATGTGGCAATGTGAGCCCTTAGCAGTGGTGATGCTGTGGTGTGTTTTTGTAGTGGGACAAGTGGAGAAGTGTTCACTGCACACTGTGCCTCTTGAGGTGCCCTACACACACTGTCAACTCTGGGGTGTCACACACTGTCCCCAAAAGGTGTGTGCCCTGTCACGCTGTCTCTCAAGGCATGCCAGACTCTCTGCACAGTTCTCCAAGAGTGCAGTCCGTGCTTTCCTGGGGTCTGCAGGGCAGCAGAGTCAGACAGTGACTGAGAGGAGCA